AGCGAGTACAACGTTCCTCGGATAGATGAGCCTTGGCGTGAAAGAATCCATATCCATAGGATAGAATAATACGTTTCCAGAGAAACCGATTAAGTAAAAGGAGAAAAGAGAAAAGGCAAAAAAAGAGTGCGAGAATGCACGGAGCTGCTAGAGAGGCTGCCACTCGCGTTGGCGCCGGAAGCACACTCACATTCACACCTACAGACAATTTAGAATCACTAATTAACCTCAACATGTTTTTGGACTGTGTGGGAGGAAGCCAGAGAACCTGGAGAGAACCCACGCTTCACGGGGAGAACATGGAGACTCCACGCAGAAAGATCCCGGGTGTCCTAACAGGGATGCAAACCAGTGATCTTCTAGCTGCGAGGCAATGGTGCTAACCACTGAGCCACCTTGCAGCCCATGTCGATTCCCTTTTCTTAATATTTTTTGTAAAATAAATAGTCAAAGAAACTCAACTTTAGATCTTTCTCGTGTGTAGCTTATGGCATGATTTTTGCTTTATTATGCCGCATGAAAGACGTATTCTAGGAATGGTTGTGCTGTTTCCATAAAGTTTAAGGACCTCCAGTGAAAAATTAGCTCATTGAGAGTAAAAATGTAGAAAAGAAAACACCCAGAAACTGCTTGAAGTTCAGAAGTTCAGACTAAACTACTTATGAATGCTGTGCACAAAATTAACTAAATCTAAGCATAATATTGAGATACTGACCAACATCTGCAGCAACAGTCATGTGACAAGTACAGAAAGGATGCAACCTGTCATTAGACAAACATCTATAGCATGTAGGACCACCATTTCTCCAGCATTTGTGGTGTTTGTGGCATTATAACGTACTGCACAGAAGACATTTTGGAGTTCACTTCTAGCCATGCTTGTGCTGTTTCCATGGAGGTGCAAGACTTTAAAAACGAGCGAGTAAAAATGTGACGGGAGCAAAACATCCCCAGAAATTGCTTTGGAGTTCAGAGGGTTCAACAGCTTCTCGTACCAGATCAAAGTGCCACAAAGCCTCTCTGTGTGAATTGACCTTTTTGTTTTCCCAACATCGCAACTGATCTGAAGACTCTGGTGTAAAGTTGGTGGTAAGAAACACTGGCTCCAGTTTAAACTAACGCAGAGAAGTGTTGAGGTTTGTTCTCCTTGAAATGTTTCTGAAGCATCCGTCTGCTCAGACTGAACTTCTTCTCCCCTCCTCTGGGTCGTAGTCTTATCTATCAAACATTTTCCTGCACCGCTGCCGAACCGAGCTACACCCACGCGGCTATCTTCTTCGCATTAAATCTTTTTCTAGCCCATGCTGGTGTATATTTAGCCACCGCTTGCACTCAGCCTATTCTCCGACGGACCTCATGCCGGCAGCAGCCGCAGTTGCTAGGTGATTTGTGACTTTACTGCACCGCCTCCTAGATGGAGGAGGAGGAGGAGGGGGGGAAGATATCATAAAAAAACATTTTCATATGTTATCCAGCACATGCTTTGGTTGAAAACAAATTAGTTTATGCACTGATCCATCCATCAGCTGTACCTGCTTCGTCCTGTAGGGGGTCTCCGATCTCCAAAGCAGCCCAACATGCATGGACTGCAGGAAAGAAACTCCACACAGAAAAGCCCCCAAATTAGTTTATGGCGAATTAAAATTGTACATGTAAGTAAATCTAAAACAGATAGGCAGCCGGTGAGATGGATTGAGAGACAGAATAACACAAGAGGCTAATCGCTGGAGCAGAGCGAATCCATTATGCTGGTGGCGCTCGGAGCCGCTCCAGTCAGATATTAGACACAGTGTCCAATTATGACGAATGGTTTCGCCCCCCGGAGAAAGACGGATGAAGACGGCATGCTTCTATAATAGCCTCCATACATTCAGAGACGAGGCGTCGAACATAGTTTGCGTGTCAGAGAGGTTGATGCTTTTTCTTATGCTTGATGGCTGAATAAACCTCTGAATTTCAAGCAGTTTTTTGTTTTGTTTTAGTTTTTTTGGCTCAATGTGGGCTCATTTTTCACTGCAATATGAAGTCCTGCACTTCTGTGGAAACAGCACAACCATGACTAGAAGTAGAGGGAAATCTAAAGTGTGCAGAATAACAAAGCTACAACACAAAAAACTTATTTTAAAAAATGAAAAAAACAAAAGTTCAATTATTTTATTTATTTCACAAAAATGTTAAAAATTCATTTTCCCAAATGTCCTCAGGTGTTAGGAATTCTGTGAAAATACATGCTGGCTCTACACACGATGGATATTTTATTGCTTTAATTGTGTATTGTCGTCTCCTAGCTGCTTTGTGTTACACTGCCTGCAGTTCAACCTAAAACTTCTTCAATTTTTCTCATGTGACTATTGATCGCTGCAGAGTCACCAATACCTTTTTTATTTACGCTGAGAAGTGCAGAATTTTTTACTTTTTACAGAATCTGATCACAGCAAATGGTTTATTTTTAGCAAATTTTTAAAACAAAACATGTAGAAGACTTGGATTTGGTGACTTAAACATAACGAGGAGTTCAAAGACTGTCAGAAAAAATCTAATTATTATTTCTGTTTTTATAGTTCATGGCTGTGACAAATGGTACAATTTGGGTGATTTTTCATAAAAAAATTAATGTGCCTTTCAAACTCTCTGGCAGGTTTTGAGACAGTTAATTCATTTAAAATAAACAAACCGGCTTGTTAAAAATCCACACGCCGAGTTGTGTGTTTTGTGTGTGCCGTGCGCTGTCGCCTCCGTCTCTCTGCCCTTCTCTCAGCATCATCTGGAAAGCTTCAATATGTGATGGCAGTTTAATTTACCAGGAAAGTGACAGAGGAGCAGGAGGGGGCAGGTGCGAGGGCTGCTGGGAGGAAGGCTCAGTCGGCTCCATGATATTGTCTGTCAATGGGGAGCAGGGAGGAATTATGAAACTCTGGAGGGATCAGGGAAATCTTGCTTCAGAAATATGATGTCAGCTTTGTTGTTTTTGGGTGAATCTTGTATTGCTGTGTTATGTCTGAATTGCATATAAAAAAACATAAAGAAAGATGTGTTTTGTGTGTGGTTGGCTCTGCAGGATTTCCTCGGCCAGGCCTACTGCACTCTGGGAGAGGTGGTCGGATCGCTGGGCAGTCGCTTGGAAAAAGCTCTCGGGTGAGTCGGCGTGCACGAAGCTGTAGAGCCCAGAGAGAGACGGTGCTGTATTCATTACCCGAGCAACCGCCGTCAAATGACTCCCAGAGCTGTCCGTCATGTTTTCCCTACAGAGCAAGCAGGGGAAAAAACAACAGGGGAATTCCTCCTGGAGTTAACTGTGTTTACGCTCTGATGAAGTCCAGGCATGTTTACACCTGCAGTTAGGAATAAAACAGGAAGTTCTCGTGACGGATGTTGCTCAGAAAAAGAAGAATGTCTAAAAAGATAGCAACAAGGTATGATATATTAGTAAAGTAAACAAATAAATAAGCTAAAATAAGACAAATAGAGAAACAAAAAGTTATACTGACAATTAAACAAATGCATAATATGCACATGAAAATAAAAACGTGCACATTTGTGATGAAATATTGCAGATAAAATAGAAATATTTCAGGATATTAAAGTAAATATTAAAGTAATATTGCCAATAATATTGATAATACTGTTCAGTATGAGATTTCTTTTCAATCTTTTATCAAATCAAGTTTACCAAAGTGCTGCACATCATAAAATAATAGAAATAAGTGCAAAAAGTGACCAATTTGTGAGAGAGATTAAATAGTATAAAACATAAAAACAAGGAAAAACAGGATAACAAGTAATAAGATCAAAGTTTAACATAAAACTAACATAAAATACTAAAATTAAGACGATTTAGAAGTCGTAAAAGCTAAAATAAAAGTAGAATAAAGAAGTAATATAAGTAATAAAAAATAATTTTGCACTTGATAGTAAAATGTTGCACCTTAAACTGAAATATTTTGCGTTATAGAAGACGAGACGTTGCAGGATACTAGAACTGATATTGATCAGAAAATGTAATACTCCAAATTATATTAGTATTATTGTTCAGTGTCTGATGTTCCAGATGTTCCAGATGTTCCAGATGTTCTTCCTGCAGATTTGGGAGGAATTCAAACTCACTCTGCTTTGGGTTAATCTTTTATCAAATCAAATCTAATCATATAAATGTATTTATAATGTGCATTTAAGACAAATTGAGTTTAACTAAGTGCTTTAACAGTCAGGGAGCAACAAAAATGAGTGCAACAAGCAATAAGTTTGCAAAAAACAACAACTAATAAGACAAGAATAAATAAAATAAAAGTCATAATCCCGTTTTCTATTCCTTTGCTTTGTCTGTTTTTTTATTTTTTGAATATTTTGTAAAGCGTCTTTGAGTGTCTTTATTATTATTATTATTATTATTATTATGAGTATTATTATTAGTATTATTATAAACTACTACTGAAAGCCTTTGAAATACATATAAATCTATTTTTTTGTTTGTTTCTTAAAAATGTTAGTTAAGGCTGCTGCAAAGCTCCGAGGCAAAGTCTAGTTGAGCTGCATTTCTGCGCTACTGGTAAAAAGTGGGCTTAACCGACGAGCCATAAACAGAATGTAAATACATTTTGGTGCGCGACAGTTCGTCTCTGGGCGTCTGTGAGTCTGCTGCCGTAAATCCACCTGTCTCGCTGCACGCCTAAGTGAATGTGACTTGTTAAAGATCCGGCGTATCCGTGAGAAAAATGCTGGAATCCTTTAAGTCGTATAAGCTTCAGCTGCAGCTGAGTGGATGAAAACGTTCCTCGGAGTACGTTGTGTCGGCCGGGAGCCTCCGAGCTGCGAGATACGACGAGATTTACTGTGTGGATAAGAAAACGTTGTGCTTGGTAACCAGCCGGTGTTAGGAGTGAATTCCTGACATCGATTCTGGGTTCTTCATACAAACGCTTTGCTTCGTTATATCCATCGTGGTCTTCATTTTTACACGTTTCTATAAAAATGTGAGTGAAATACACTTTGACGTTTCTTTTCTGCTGTTGTTCCGATGCTCAGTGACACATTAGAAAGTGTTATCTAAAGTTATCTAAAGCTACTTGAAGTCCAAAGTCCTGACAGGGAGGAGCTCAGGTGGATGGACGGGTCAACAAAACAACTGGTTATCTCGGTGATTATGTACTTATTATTGCAGCAAAGACAACAAAGCTCCCTTAACCTTATCAAAGTAGTCATTTTAACCCACACCACAGTGTTTACCCTAACCTTTACAACTTTAACCTTCTGAACTGCCAATATGTCTCTGGGTGTTTTTGCTCCTGTCGCATGACTTGTGGTTTAGTAAAACTTTCTTACCAGGGCCAGGGCCGGCCCAGACCAAAGATTGTAGGTGGCGCCCCCTAGCAGCACAGTGAATTCCACTCTTAATTTTCATACAGTAACACAGAAACCGTATGCATGTATTCAAGCTTTTATTTAAGTATAAACAACACACAAAATCTTTGCAACATAGAGAAACTGCATCGACACTTGTTGGTAAATATTTGCCTTCATACATGTCAGTTAGCCAGGTGCAATCAACGTAGAGAAATTATGATTTTCCCGCTACATACCCTCGAAAACAACGTAACGGCCCAATGTGCGGCGTCATTTTTTCAGGCAGCAGCGTAGCGAGCCGTTACTCTGTTATAATGCTGGCGAGAACGCTGCTTAATCTAATTATTTCCATCACATTGACGTTATCGTACTTCTGTCTTTTTCCCATTTTCCTTCCTCTTCTTTCCGTCCCTGAGCTCCACACTGTATTCTACTCTCTTCATAATTCTGTGTATAAACCAATCTGCAGCCTGTGCGTTCCAGCCACGCCCCCTCTTCCGCTTGTGGCGCCCCCCTGTGGATGTCGGCGCCCTTAGCCTTTACCTATTCTGCCTATGCCTGTGACGACAAATGGTCGCTTGTCTTCATCTCTAATCTGTCTTTTCTGATGCACACGAGAACACATCATCTGAGAATCGTTGCTTCGATTAATGACAGATGCGGCGTCTCGTTTGTTGCCGCTGTTAAGTCAACAAATAAATCAAAATCTCAATTATCCACTCAGCCTACAGACTATCGGCTCGCACTGAGTAGACGGATCGATGAGGAGAAGTTGCTGTACTTTCTTCTACCTGCACTGCAGCCCTGTCGGCCGTCACGTTTTCTCTCCCTGTCCGTCTCTCACTGGCTTATTCTCAATCGTGTCTTTTTAATCCAATTAGTTTGTTCATTTGACGCCGTGATGAGTGTTGAGAGGACAAAAAAAATTAGCAGAGAAATGACAGTCGAAGCAGTCTCAAGAACCTGGCAACCTGTGTGTGTCTTTGTCGTGTGTGCTCTTAATTTTCAACCATCACTGTCATCCATTTGAGTACCAATCGCCATGGTGATTGCAGCGGCAGGTTTCCCACTCAGAGGGAAGATCACAGCAAGGGAGGAGTGTCTTGAGTAGAGTCGGCTTTCGAGGTGGACGACATAGTTTTGCACTTTGGAGAACAAACACACACCACAGAGACACACACTGTACACACACTTGTCATACTAGTCGTTTCTTAATAATGACACGAACTGACACGATAAATTTTCTTGCAAAAAAAAATGCAAACACTAATTTGTCAGATTTACGCTGCATCAATTAGTAAATACACAACGCAGCCACACCTATAAACCACATAGAAATGCACTGAAAGTCAGAAATGGAGCTGCTACTGTTATCATTTCTGTCTAAAAGTGCTTTGATCAATGTTTTTTAACATTTTTTATAATTTATCCTCACTTCTCTCTATCTGATCTACGAGTGCATACTTTATTTTCAACCCCGTAATCACATAAACTTGTTTTACTGAAGGTGTTTTTGTGAAAAATGGAAAAATAAATTAGTCACCCCTTGTGAATAATGAAATGAAAAATAATGAAATGAAATGAAAAATACTTTATTTATCCCAGAAGGGAAATTCAATCTTGTAAAAGCTCACTTTTTTTTTTGATATGTGATATATCTATATATATTTATGATATATATTAATGACCTCATACTGACCGGTTTTAACAATTTGACTGGATTTGTGCTTACGTCAGCTCAAACTTTAAGTTTTTTTATCATCACATCATCATTTGGACAGTAAAAATGCTCATGAATGACTTTACAAATTACCCTCACAGCTTTAAATATTGGAGTTAAGACCACATAGTGTTATTTATGATGTGATTTTACCAGAATAATTTACATATTAGGAATTCAAACCCGACTAACGTTCCATAAAATACTACTTTACCCAACTGTAATCCATTTTAAGGCTGACACCGTATAGTGTTGTTAATTACTTAGACTAACTAATGCAATATTGCAGCTAAGACCCTATACCTATGTAGTATAAATATCCAGTCTCTATAGCATCAGTGATTATGGAGAGGAAACTGTAAGTGCTGTAATGGAAATGATAAAATCCAACCGTAGCCATTAGCACACCTTGCAGTGACTTCTCGTCGCTGGGACCAGCTGCAGTCGGGAAGGAGCTGCTCTTGCGTTGAGAGGTTTTGATAGACTGCAGCTTCTTGCCGGAGGGGAGCGTGTCAGAGGAAACCATGTCCGAGGTGGAAGAGATGGACCGTAATCTTTCATGCAAGCCGCAGGTCCTGCAGAGACGGCAGGCTGCAGCCGAGCAGCGTGTCGGCAGAGAGGATGGTAATCTACGGTGTGACTTTGTCCTGATAGTTGCAGAGTTGGATAACATGGAGACAGAGGCATTAAGGAAGGACTCGGTTATGGTGGTGTCTGGGAAGATTCTCACTCATCCAGGTCAGGGTTATTCTCGTAGTTTAGCCCTAGCGACTGGACTTGCTTGAGTTCCTTGAAGACGTTTCATCCAAGAGGCTTCATCACTTCTGACTGACTAGTTGAGAGTTCCAGATACTTGCATCCTTAAGGAGCCAGTAACACCTGAGTTTCAGTTTCAGCTGGAGGTTTGTTCCTCCTCCTCCTCCCTTAGTCAGTCAGAACTGATGAAGCCTCTTGGATGAGAGATGGAACGTCTTCAAGGAACTCAAGCAAGTCCAGTTGCTGTGATTAAACTACGAGTTATGGTGGTGTAGCAGTGCACCACGTTGAACTTCTTCTGCTGCTGTGGAAAGCACAT